GTGATTACAAAAAAAAAAAAAGCCTTTCAGAGCACTTGGTTTTTTGCTGGGTACCTTACAAAGTGCGTCATACTCAGGACTGCACATTCTAAGGACAATTCTGTAAATATGCAGGGTCAGCCGTTCTTACAGATAAGGAAGGAAACTGATTCCTTTTCTATGATTACAGAGGTAGGAAACAGGGAGAGCCAAGATTCAAACCCGAAGTCTTTGGTCTTCTTATTGCACAAGCCTGACTTCAGGCCGCAGATCCATTTCTGAGGCTTGATTTCCTCCAGCTCTGTGCCTTCCTTGTCACCTCCGGAACCAGTACAGGCACCGTCAGCTTAGGCGGTCTTCCTTCCTCAGAGGCCAGATGCCGTCCATCCTTGGCTTCATTTGCTGAACTGTTCTGTCAAGTGCTTAGATACTATGGTGACGAGTGGTGAGTAAAATAACTAACATGGATAGGGCAACCATCGGACACTTCATCTGAACTTGTCTCGCACAAGCAGACAAGATTTATGGGCTACTGGCTTCCAGGAGCTGGAGAAGGGGAGGAATGGGGAGCGGCTGCTGGTGGGTACGTGGCTTTAGAGGGAACAAAATGCTCTGGAATTAGACACTGGTGATGGCTATACAATTTCACGACTACACTAAAACTACTGAACTGTATACTTTCAAAAGGTGAATTTTATGGTATGTGAATTATATCTCAATAAAAAAGAAATATGCTATAATTGAGCAAGATATTAACAAATGCCAGCACAGATAAAAAGAAATTAAAACTTTCATATATTTGATGATGGAGCTGGGGTTGGTGGCACACACCTGTAATCACAGCACTCGGGAGGCAGAGACAAGAGGATTACAATGAGTTTGAGGCCAGCCTGAACTACACAGTGAAATTTTGTCTCAAAAAACAAAACAATTATATATAATTGTCATAGCTTTGGAAAACATTTGGGAGGCTCTGGAAAACATTTTGGGAGGCCCTCCAAAAGTGAGACATAAAGTTACCACATGATCCAGCAATTCTATTCCATATAACCAGGAGAAATGAAAATATATGTCCAAACAAAAATTTGTACACTAATGTTCATGGAAGCATAATCCCTAATAGCCAAAAGTAGAAACAGCCTATACTAAATGAAGTGTGGTAGAGCCATGTAATGGAGTATTATCTGCCTATTAAAAAGGAACACAGGGCTGGGGATTTAGCTCAGTAGTTCTGGCGCCTGCTGCGCAAGCATAAGGTCCCAAGCTCAATCCCCAGTACCAAAAAAAAAAGGAATGCAGTACTGACATTTGCTGTAACATGAGAGAACAATGAAAGATTACGTTAAATAAAAGAAGCCAGTCACAAAAAAAATTTATTATATAATTCTATTTATATAAAATGTCCAGAATAGGCAAATCTATAAAGAAAGAAAGTAGGCTAGTAGTTGCCTACAGCTGGAATGGCTCAAAGAAAATGAGAAATGAGGGCCTGGGATTTAGCTTAGCGGTTTTGCCGCCTGCTGTGCAAGCGCAAGGACCCGAGTTCAATCCCCGGTACCAAAAAAAAAATGAGAAATGACTGATAACAGGTATGGGGTTTCTTTTTTTGTGGTGACAGAGCATAAAAAAGCTGACTGTGTTGATGATTGCCATGATTCTGTGAATGTACTAAAAATCATCAAAAGCTACACTTTAAATGACTGAATTGTGTGCATGTGAATTATATCTTAATAAAACTGTGTTAAAAATGCATAGGTTGGGCTGGGGATTTAGCTCAGTGGTTTCACCACCTGCTGCGCAAGCACAAGGAGCCAAGTTCGATCCCCCGTACCAAAAAAAAAAATGCACAGGTTAATAACTTCCATTAGTTTTTAGGAAAATACTTACCTAAACCCAAGTAAGTTTTAAATACAGTGAACACTTGATGTAGCACAGCCTGAAACCTGTTACAAGGAGATTCAACTCTTTAAGAAAAAAAAAGCAGAAGCCCATAATATAATGACAACTGGACTTCTCTGGGGCCAAGTTCAAGATCTGAGCAGGTCTATAAAAATGCCTCCAGAAAAAACTATATGGTACTGACATGTCTCTTAATACTAATGCCCTTCCCAGGCCTGGTGGCATACACCTTTAATCCCAGCACTTGGGAGGCTGAGGCAGGAGGATCATAGCCAGTGCAAGGCCAGGCTGGACTATACAGTGAGTTCAAGGTCAGCCTGAACTACATAGCAAGACCCTGTCTCAGAAAAAAACCCCAAAACTAATGCCCTTTAATTTTTTCCACTATTAGACTTTGGACATGTACAAAATAATTACAGAACTGGGTATGGTAGTGCACATCCATAATCCCAGCAGTCAGGGAAGATGATGCAGGAGGATTTCAAGTTTGAGCCCAGCCTGGGCAACTTAGCAACTTATACCAAGACCCTGTCTCAAACCAAAACACAAAATAAAACACAAAAATGAAAGAAATCTATCAACAAAAAACTTATTCTGGTTTGAAATTGAATGTCATATTTATATGTCACTTCACATTTGAGAAGCCAGTCTATTATTAGAAAAGTACTTATGGCAAAACTTTGAAACTTTATTTACTTAGGATCTGAGAATTAACACCCAAAAAGAGATTAAATGTTTCCCGGGCTAGACTCCTAAGGATAAACCCTTTTTCTTTTTTATTAGTTTTGACACAGAGAACTGAAGTAAAATGAGAAACATATTTAGGGGGTTTTTGTAGTACTCCAGTTAAAAATACTAAACTATGGCAGTGGAAATGGAAAAAAATGGATCTCTTGGTGCTAAAGCCCTAGGTTCAATCCTTAGTACCAACAAAAACAAAACAGCACTGAGCTATGTCCCTGAAACCCAAACCTGGTAATGTTTAGTTGGTGAGCTACTTTTCAGAAACAAGCTACCTGGTAACTATCTTTTCTTTTAATTTAACAACAAAACTTTAAAAATAAGGGCCGGGGATTTAGCTCAGTGGTTTTGCCGCCTGCTGCGCAAGCGCAAGGACCCGAGTTCGATCCCCCTTACCAAAAAAAAAAAAAAATGTACCCTTAAATATAAAACCTTTATAGAAGATGTACTATAGATGATTCATCAAATTTTAATGGAGTAGAGACTATATTTAGAAATCTTATTTATGCTTCGAAAGGAACTTTGTAGATTTACATAAATAAACATTTTACAGATGCAGGCACCGAAGTACAGAAGCCTCTAGTCTCACCAAGTAACCTATAATTAGAGTAAGGTCTGAGCTTGGGTTTTATGACTCCTGATTCAGTTTTCTTACTCTCTTAAACTCAGCCTTACATACAATATATATAAGAATTTTGAAAGAAAGCTATATTCAACCCCTAAGTTTTATAAATCCTATTTCCAATGATAATTCTACATGTAACTTCTCACTGGGTAATGATAATAAATAACTTTATATGATGGCACCCAGGGAAACTGGACTGAAGCTTCTGAAGGGAGAAAGAAAAGGATTCATAATCTTGGAGTTATGATGGACCCTCACAGGTTGTAACTAGGTATGAGTTCTTTAAGACGTCATGTGGTCAAATTAGAGGCACAGTCAATTAGCCCTTGAATGATAGTTATAGAATATATCAATTTATATACCTAAAGCATCTGTTTATCCTTAGATCTTTTAAGAAAACGTATTCATGTCCCCTGTTAAAAACTATCTTAGGGCCAGGGATTTAGCTCAGTGGTTTCGCCGCCTGCTGCACAAGTGCAAGGACTCCCCGGTAGCAAAAAACAACATAAAACCAAAAAAAAACTACCTTAATTTGTTGTAGGTCTACCAAGGAAAATACAAATGGATATGAAAGAGCGGAAGTAAAAAAAAAAAAAAAGATATGAAAACCTGAATTATGAGTTACATTAAAAGGTTATCAAATTACCTTATTGAATGAAGACTTTAATTTGTAGAAATTGGAAATTTTTACTTTTACTCCCAATAAAATAATACAAATTAAAAGACAGGATCAGGGCCATTGACTACATTTCTAATAAGCCAATGAAGTGCAAGAGAGCAAAAAGTAAGAGGACACCAACCGTCCCCTTCATTCACAAGAGCCTTATGCAAAGATTGCTGGCTTGGGAAAAGCAGTGTGCTAAGGTGTCCCAGTCTAGGCCAAACCAATACTCTCCAGTCCCACATGTATCTGACTGAAAACAACTAGAGGTGGGGCCGGGGATTTGGCTCAGTGGTTTCACCCCCTGCTGCGCAAGCACAAGGACCCAAGTTCGGTCCCCAGCACCAAAAAAAGAAAAAGAAAATAACCAGAGGCTACCTTTTCCCACGATTACCCTACAATTCAGGTACAAAGTCCATAGCTTTAAACCTCCACTAACTGCCAAATATACCAAGTAAGAAATACTCTGACTTATTTTGCAACCAAAGAAATACAGATAATTAAAACCAGATGTCTTACTCAACATTAGCAGAAGATGTATATGTTCATGTACATTATTTTCCAATAGAGATGAAAAGATCTATAAAGAGGCCTTGCTATCACAGAAATTCACAAATTAGTGATCAAAGTCACAGTGACAACAGAAGGAAAACTTTAAGGCTAGTACTGGCAGCAAATACAATTTTATAAAGGAAGGGCAGTGTTTATATTTAAACTACACAATGTATGTCAATTTCAGTACTGCTTACTATAGGCAGAGCCATAAGGAAGCAGTTAAATGATGGTACTCTATACAAAGGGACACTGTGGACACATCACAGGCATGCAACACCACACAACTGGATCCACATGTGCTACTGTGTATTGTGCTCACTTCAGAACACACCGATAAGAAAAACAAGATGCAAGTCAGTGTACACAGGGGGCCGGGGATTTAGCTCAGTGGCACCGAGCCTGCCTCACAAGCGCAAGGTCCTGAGTTCAATCCCTGGTACCAAAAAAAAAAAAAAAAAAGGCAGTGTACACAGTATGAGATGGGAAGGAGGTTTATTTTTAATTAAAAAATACTATAAGCAATAAATTTTTAAAAAGTACCTGCTGGTGTCTTCTTAATAGTGCCTTTTTTGGTTCTTGTACCTCTTTTTCCAGGTATTTTTTTGTCTTTTCCCAAGAAGTCCTTTCCATCTTTGGGGCCTTCACACAGAGCACTTTCTGAGATCTCACTGGCGGCCACTTCACGGCTGGACACACAGCTTTCATTATTGTTGAGACTATCTTGCTCTAACACTTCAGTTTTCCCCATTGCACTACCACTGCTGGTCAGAAGAGCAGGCCCATCTCCATCAAGTTGATTTTCATTTTCATCTGATGCAGAAGGCAAGTGTGTTACTCTCCTTTCTGCGCTGTCACCAGGATGACACCCATCTTGTGATTCTATCTGCAGACTATATGTAGGAGGATTGCTGTCATCCATTAGCGCATGCTTTGTTAAACCATTTAAAATTTCACTGAAGTCCTTCCATGTCTACAATGACAAAAAGAAAAAAGAACACTTCATTTTCTAATCTCTGGGATTCAAAGTGATCTCTGAATTTCTTCTCTCGTGTCATTTCACTGTGAGGAGAAGGAAATGGCTAAAGTTCATTCCTACTCGCCTTTCTCCTCTTGCAGCCCCACCCCGATTTCACCTAGTTCTTGCTTCAGTACAAGGGTTCTCAACTGTGGCTGCTCCTCAGAATGACCTGGGGCGGCTACCCAAATTCTCTCCCAGACTCACGACATCAGAGTCTCTAAGGATTCCATGTACACTGACACCTTTTTTAAAGTTCTCCCGGAGATTCTGATGTGCATCACGTTGGGACTGCTGACTTCACAAAATAAATTACTGACGAAACTGGTTATCTGCTAAAACCATTCATATTATCCTTGTCACTTACCAGAAAACTGAAAGCCAGTTGTAAAAATCCTTGGGCTAATCAGTAGGAATATTTATAAATGAAAACATTCAAAGATACAGTATTTTAAAAATTCTCTTTAGAAAAGCACATGGGGGAAAATTCAGGTAGCATATATTCATACTACATAGTACTACACAGTATAATCTCTTTTTATCTTTTACTTCCTAAAAGCCCAGGAAAAATACTTTAGAATTGTCAGCAAAATCCTTTTAAACAATTATATATAATATATATATATTTATATATATTATATTTATATAATACATACATAATAATATATATTTTTAAAAACAGGGGAGGGCCATGATTAACTCTAGGCTATTTAATGTAGACTTAGAAAAAACTCTCAATCTATTTAATGGATATTGCCAACCTTTTAAAAGCTACACAACTGCTTCTATGCTGTACTGCCGGGGAAGCTCAGGCACATTCAGGCCCTGAGTTAAAACTATTCAAACCAGTATTTCTATTTAATTCTCACAATTACCCTAGCAGAAAGGTAATTTCAGTCCTGTTATACTGCTAAGGGAACCAAGACTCATATCTTGTGTCAGGCTAAGTTTAGAAATGCAATTTGGACGAGTTATGATCCTAAAGCTTCCCTCTTGATTATTATGCTCTACGAAAATGGAGAGAGAGTGGCAGGGGGATGCCACAGCCGAGCATCTGACCCACAGCAGAGGCATCTCTCTGAAGGCCAAGAAGCCCACATTCCTGAGCTCCTCTGCCCCGGAAGGTGCTGGGTCCACAGCAGACCATTTCTTACACATCTCACCACTTTGTCTTGAGAACTTTTTTAGCTGTGGGTAGGGGCTACACTATTTAAGAGAAGTAGCTGTTTCAAGTACAGTATGTATACATTCCTTTGGCCCTCAAGATATTTTGGAGTCTGACTGTTCTGTAATAACAAGATAGTTTGACTCTCAAATGGCATTTTTCTTTGCTTTGTTTTTATGGTACTGGGATCAACCTAAGGCTTCATACGTGCTAGACAAGCACTGTATCACTGAGCTACATCCCCAGCCCTTTTTATATTGTTTTGAGATAGGGTCTTGCTAAGTCACCCAGGCTGGCCTTGAACTTGTGATTCTCCTGCCTCAGCTTCCTAAGTAGCTGGGATTACAAGTGCGTTCCATCATACTGGCTTCAAAAGGAAATTTCATATCTATTTTTGCATATGTGCCATTAGATTTAAGCCATTTTAATATTCTTAACCCAGCCGTACGCTGTACCCCTCACAATGTCTAGCCCTGGCTCTTAAGGATACATCAAGGGGTCAGAATACAATTTTCTACTGTTTCCTTCTAAAAGGACACAGCCAGACAGGTGGATTCCCACTGGCACCTCACTCCTACTTGGAGAGGGAAAGGGACTTGCTGTACAGTATTTGGCTTCTGCCTGCATTCCTGACATTTTAATTGTAATATCTTAGCTTCAACAATGGGATAAACTTTTTTTTGGTACTGGGGATTGAACTTGGAACCTTGTGCTTGTGAGGCAAGCGGCGGAACGACTGAGCTAGATCCCCAGCCCTCTGCATTTTATAAATAAAATGTTGGTTTTGCTTCTTCTTCCTCCTCATTCCACTCCCCCAGTGCTGCTCCAACAGCACTTTAATAATCTAATCTTGGGGCTGGGGATTTAGCTCAGTGGTTTTGCCACCTGCTACGCAAGCACAAGGACCCAAGTTCGATCCCCGGTACCAAAAAAAAATCTAATCCTCCAGTACGGCTGCCTCTCACTGCATAAAAGCACTTGAGCAACAGAAAATCACAAGAGGAAAGAAGCCCAGTTAACTTACGGTAGCTCAAAATATGCATGGAACCTGGGGGCTTTACTACAGTTGAGACTGTATTCAAACATATTTGCTCTATATAAGCAGTATGTTTCCTCTGTAAGAGTCCCTACATCCAGAGCAATTCTCACAGAAGAAACTGTGGCACAACAGAATCACTGCTACAACACTGACTCTAACACAGTTTGCCTTTCACAAGCATGATGGCCAGTGCTGCACAAGTTTCCATCCTCTTGTAGCAAAATAGCATTCCAAATATGTACACTGTGTAAAAGTCACCAGACATGTTGACTCTACAGCTGAAGTTATTTCAAGCAAACATATTCCAGTAAGGCTTATATAAAACATGAAAACCCACAAAACTTTGAGAGAAAGCTTTCTTTTTCTTAAATTGTTTATTTACTATCAAAATCTGTCAAAAGCATGACCTAAAACCTAAATAAAATTTTAATTCATTCTTTTCTTTTTTTTCTTCTGGTACTGGGGATCGAATTCAGGTCCTTGCGCTTGCAAGGCAGGCGGCGGAACCATTGAGCTAAATCCCCATCCCTCTTTTTGATTTGTTTTTTGAGACAGTGTCTTGCTATGTAGTTCAGGTTGGACTTGAACTCACTATGTAGCCCAGGCTGGCCTCAAACTCACAGCAATTAATCCTCCTGTCTCAGCCTCCTGAGTGCTGGGGTTAGAGGTATGTGCCACTATGCCCAACATTTTTCATATTTTTAATGGAATTATAAACATTAAGTGCTACTAAGATTTTTTTAAATTGTAGGAATAATTACTATTTCCATCAGTGTTACTTGGTTTTATTGAAATGTTTTAAGGAAACCATGGGTGCCATTTTTCTACACTTTATACAAATCAGACCACAATACTATACTTTTACTTTAGAAAGAAGTAAAAATTCTTCATCAGAATCAACAATGACACACAGATTTGAATTTAGCGATTTATAGCCAAACCAAAATTTAGAGGAATGCAGCGGCCAAACTATTAACCCCAAATTCAAATTTATCTACTAGTAAATTCAGAATTGAGAAAGTTACCATGTTTATATGTTACTCTATTATGATCATTACAGCTACTTTATATTTCTATGACCACCTTACACACTCGATATGTTCCAATACCACTTATATATACATCATTGGTAAATCTGTAGTTTTCTTCCATTAATGCTATTATCTTCTAGACATACAGACCTAAAGGATAGATTCAGGATATTATAAATCAAAAGTATCCACAGAAGAATAATTCTCAGATTCTGTGACCCAAAACATTTAATTTTCAAGATCCTATACATACAAAATATGTACATATATGTAACTACAACAAGTTTCCCAAAACTTAACACATGTGTAGTACTCTGATCCGTCCTCTATTCCATTTACTATTATTTCGTATATTCAGAAGCACTGACAAAGATCTCCTAGACCAATTTTATATTCCACTGAGTGTTCATCTCAGCAACTGAGGACCAGAGACGGTTGCAATTGCAAACCGCTTTCTGAAAATAATGTAGAACATATGAAACTCACTTGTAAACTTAAAATGTCCTTCTCCTAATTTCAATATAATAACATTTGGGATTCCTCTTACCTTAAAAATGTGGCTAAAATACTACCCTTGATTCAGAGTTCCATAGCTGCCAAACTGAGGGAGGAAGTCACTTGAGCCCACAAGTTCAAGATTCACATAGGCAACATAGCAACACCCTGATTCAAAACATTACACCCATAACCTCAGAACTCAGGAGGCTGAGGCAGGAGGATCACCCTAAGTTTGAAGCCAGCCTTGTCTACACAGTGAGGTCATGGCCAGCGTGACCTACATAGTGAAATCCTGTCAACCAAAATAATTTTTGTTTTAAATATTGACTACGTACGTTTGATATAATGAGTTGATCAATTATTATTAATATTAATTTTATGGGCCTGGAGGCATAGCTCAGTGGTAGTATGCTTAGTGTGTATGAGGTCCTGGGTCCAAACCCTAGTACTAAAATCAGTCAATCAATCAATCTATCAATCAATAAAAATTAAATTTCACATTTCAAAAAGCTTTTTTAAATGTGGTTACTAGGGGGCTGGGGATTTAGCTCAGTGATTCTGCTGCTTGCCTCGAAAGCGCAAGGTCCCAAGTTTGATCCCCAGTACCAAAAACAAAAAAACTGTGGTTACCAGGAAACAAATTGTGCTGGGCACGGTGTCACACACCTCTAATCCCAGCACTCAGGAGGCTGAAGCAGGAGCATTAAGAGTTTGAGGCTAGCCTGGGCTACACAGTGAGACTGCGCGTCTGGCTCACATTCTATTTCTGGCGGAACATGCTGCTCTTTGTGGCACTGCCTCGGCAGGGTCACAGGAGCCAAAGTCCCTCCACACCAAATTCATCCTTGCTGTGCTAACCTTCAGCATGTCCTGGCCACAGACATTTCAACAATATAAACACGGACTGAAGGAAACAGATGTGATGCTTTTAAAGTTAATGTAAACCCAAGGATTGTGCTACACCAGTTTTGTTACTTGTGTTTAAAACATTTTTGGCACTTAAGAAAAGTAGAATAGTAATTATATCTAGCAAGTCAGGCTTTCAGTAACTGTTCCAAATATTTGGGTTTCTACATAACAGTGCATCATAAAAGTACATCAGGGGTGGGGATGTGGTAGCACACTTGCCTAACATGTGAGGTCCTAGATTCTATCCCCAGCAATGCAAACAAAACAAAAAGAAAGAATATCAAATTGTTTAATATTTCTTTAGTAAAAATTA